CTATTAAGTACAAAGTGTTGTGACATGGTGGCTATAGGGCCTCGACTCGACAACAATGAAAAGCCCCTCATCTGCTTGTAATATCAAGCACAATATTCTCCACAAGTTCTTCTATAATATTTTCTTCTATTTCCCTCCCCAAAGCTTCAATCTCTTTTCTCATAACCTCAACCAACCCAACATGCACAACCTCTTTCCTAACAACATTTTCTACAACCAGGCTGTGACTGTCCCCGCCCCAAACAAACTTCATCCCATTTGCTATTAATTCCTTCATATAGGCCACAATGTGGTCCATTAAACATGAACCCTCTTGAACTTGGAAGGGCCTTCTGTTGGTCCCACAGTACATCTTGAAGTAATTCTCTGACCCATCACCACAACTAACAACTTCCAATAGTGCAGCATTAACACAATCAAATATAAGTTTCTGATTTGACCTCATTTTCCTTCTCTTAGCCTCATTAAGAGGCTGTGTATTGTCCTTGTTGTCATTTATGTTGGCATATGTGTCCCTCAATGATGGGTCCAACGGGCTTTCAAGAGAGTGAAATCTTGTGTGAAATGACTCATACTGTTGTTCTTGATCATCATCATCATCATCATCAAGTCCAGATGCTGATAATAGTTTTTGGACCAAGAGAAGCCATTCATGTTCCTCTAACTTGGTCTCTAAGGAAGAAGTCCTTAAAGGTTTTAATGGATAATAAGGACTTGTTAACTCTCCACAAGAATCATCATCCCATGATAGGGTCCTAGCTACTGATTCTATAGGTGGTGATTTGTCAATTAACTTCGACTTAAGAGGCTCCAGCGATTCTATACATATAGAATAAGTGACATTCAGATTATGATAATAACAATAAAATAGCTTAATATACATAAAAAAATTTACACTGTCAATCACATTATAATGATCTGCGATTCTGATTGATTGACGACGGTGTAAATATTTTTTATAAACAGTAGCAAATAGTTTAAGATCTAAATTGTATAAAATAAGAGCTTCTTTGAATGGCAAGGACTAAGCATTACCCATGTGACCACTTTTCATGCATTGCAAGGACTCATGAGCTGTATTGTAATCTTCAAATGTAGATTCTAACACTGAGAATGGACTAGGCTGATCCTGTTTTTCATTTGAAATCTCAAGCACCACAAGCTTTGACTCACTTGATCCAGGCTGTGAAAACAAACAAATCAAAGTTTTCATTTCTATACGTTTCTATGATAGACTACTAAAAAAACCTCAATGTTACAGAAATTGTGTATTCAGACAGCACAAATTGTTTGGGATTTTAATGATATTTTTACACCAAAAACAAGTATTTTAATGAAGGTATATATTAAAAATATGGATTATTCAAGAGGGGTAGTTCCCTAGCCTATAGACCATGTGCTGACCAAGAAAAGTTACTTCTATTAATTATCTTGAGGTACACAAAGAATGTTTATTAAAACAAGATTCATTTGCTTCACCATTCCAACACACACTCAGGGGTATAATAATTCTAGTAGTTAGGAAGAGAAGAGACAGAGATAGGAAACTTATGATTTCACAATTAAAGACTGTCTGTTGATGCTATCCAACTAGTCAAGGTGAAACAACAAAGATCCTAAATAAAGGTTAAATTTCAAATAGGTCCTAAATAAAGGTTAAATTTCAAATAGATCCTAAATAATAATCACTAAAAAAATAGAAAAATTGCATAATGAACTATGAATAATATGTTGAAATTTGCAAAATAATTGTAGCAAGCTATTACCTCTAGTGTAATCATATCTTCTTGTCCACTAGAGACTGAATCTGTTGAAGTTTTGCCTAATGATTCACATTTAGCTGCAAGAGATTCATCAAACTCACCAACATTAAAGCTTTGAGACACATTATCTCCAAGGACTCCTGGTGACTTTACTTGCGGTATTGATGTTTCAGTGACAGCCAATTCGGATTCGTCTTTTGATTGAGATGATCTAGATTTTTTCTTGGTTGATTTTTTACTCATTGAAAACAAGAAACTTGCAACTTTCCCTTTAAATGATGATCTCTTACTCTTTGACTTTGCCACCACCTTGGAGCCATGTTCTTTGTCAGCGTCAATGCCGAAGGCAGGTTCATAGGCAGTAGAAGATGCAGGAACAGAATTTAACAGAGAAACATTTTGAGGAGAATTATTAATGATCAATTCTTCATTGAAAGATTGACTGCAAGAAACAGATTTGCTTTGTTCTTCTTGGTGTTTATTAGTACTTTCAACCTCAGATGTTACCGATTTTCTTATGAGGGAAAGAGAAAGCATTTCACCGAGAGTAGAGTTGCCTGTCACACGGCTTTGTTCTTGATGACCTTTTTCAACAGATGTTATCACGTTCCATCTTTCGGAAAGCCGTTTCTTTGCCTCTATGCAGACAGATGACTCGGGAGAACACGTCGCACGACCCAAGGATTGTGTAGAATAAGGACTTCCACATACATTGATGATGCAATCCCATGAATGCCTTGGCATTGGTGACACAGCTTCCAAATCATGATAAGATTTGTCAAATAAGCTCTCATCACTTGAATAGCCACTGGAAAATACTGAAGAATGTAAAGTTTTATCATTTGGATGCATTTGCAATGTAATCTCTTTAGACACTTGTATGGATTCAAGTACATCGTCATTTCCATTTCCTTGATAGAAACTTTGAGGTGATTGAGTTCTCGGAGAAACCATAGACTTAAGATCATGAGTCCTTCCAGGACTAGGCTTCAATACCACTATTCGAGTAGATTCCGGAGAGTATCCATGGTTAATATTCTCCCTTACAGTTGTTTGATCAGAATTTGCTGGTTTCTTAATCAATCTATCATTCTTCTTACCCTTTCCAGAAGATTTATCATTTCCATACATCTTCAAAGGTTTGATAAGGGTAATGCGATTTGCATCGTCCGGTGGAGTAGAGGGAAGTTGATAAAGCTTTTGTGAATCCAAAAACCTGACCAAGAGATCATTGTTTGAGCTTAAAATGTCCAACGCATCTTGAAATTGCTTGGACTGGCGCAGCGCCTCATGTGTCGACATATTCTTCGCCTGAATGAATTTCTGACGAACAAGAGCCATTTTCCCTTCATCAAAATCTTCCCTCCACCTTCCTCTATGAGATTGCAGCCATGTTTCATATCCATCTCCGTAACCAATCTGTTCTGCACTTGAATTACGAACTCCATGAAGCATTTCCTTATTACACATCATAAACCTATCTTCCACCTTTCTATGTTTCAATGGCCACCCTAGATGATCATAAATGTCTTCAGAATAATCTTTTGACAAATTCGGCTCTCCCTTTGGAAGGGTTTCAAGCCCCATTAATTTGGCAACTAGATTTGATGGATTGTGCTTTGAGTTTTTTTCTTTGGACATTTCTTGGTCTATTCTATGCACATCTTGATGACAGGTGCTCCATTAATTTTCTATCTTGATGATGGTGTTTTTGAAAGTGAAGAAGCTGCATGGAAATAAGGTAATATATGATTATGCGAATAATATAACAGCATAGCAATATCTTAACTACAGAAATCACAAAGACAACTATTAAAGACAACTTGGAAATAAACATAAAACTAAACAATTCAGAAACCTCCAACTTGGTAGCATAATGCTACTTATGAGACACAAAAATACAGATCAGCTAAAGAGAGAGAAAGAGATGTAGGGGTAGGGGCTTGTTGTCCTTCTTCTTCCTATGTCTCTGTCTCTCTCTCCTCCTTTGTCACTCTCTTTGTAAAAAGTTTTCATATAACTACCATTGATTTAGATCTTTTTCCCTTTATGGAATTTTAGTTACAGGCTCAATTGTGATATTTGATAGCAGAATTAGTCACTGAAACAAAAACAAGAAGTTATAACAGTTTTAAAGGCAAATAATATAATAAAAAATTCAGTCACCTAACCAAGGCCAAATAATATTAGTAAGAAAAAATAACATAAATGTTGAGTAAGTCATGATATATAGAATAAAGAAAATTAATGAAATCATATTACACTTTTGGAATGTATTGACAAAATGAGTTACTTGACTAAAATAGCAGGGGAACTTGTGACACTTTGTCTATCTCATTTCAAAGATGAATATGAATGATTACCAAATAGACAGTGTCATAAGAAAAAGAGATACTTTTAAAGCAGATCCCTAAAAATGAGTAGAGATAACAAGAAAGGTATATAAACAAGTAAACAGAAAAAAGAAGTAAAATTAGTTGAGGCCCAACAAATTTTCCTCATTTTGTTAGCTTGACTTTTTAATAATTATTTGTCTGAGATATCTTTAATGTGACAAGCTACACAAAAATTTGGGATTTATTGGTGAGTAAATACAAAAGATTTGTATTGTATAATAGGGGGTAGCCTTTAATCCAGGGAAATAAAAAATATTGAATGGGTCATGTATCGTTTTCTAATTTATGAGTGACGTGCAAGTTGCACATGCAACTGAAAGTGACCCTTTAAATAGAACTTAATTAACAGTAAATCTAAATCTCACTTAAGCAATTATAATATTCTACTTTAATTAACTAATCATGTGCAAGACCCCACATAGAGTGGTTAAGAAGAGTGTAACCAAATTCAAACCTTGAGTAGCATGAAGATCACTCCAAAAGATACCACAGAAAGAAATTGGAGATGATTTTAAGTTAAAGTTAGTGGTTTACTTAACGCAAAGAACTTCGTGCTATAGCATTATTCATTCACGAGATAATGCCAAAAATAGTTTTTTTTCTAGTGAGTCACGGTAAAGTTTGTTAGATATGAGAGAATTTTACATGATCAATTAAAATATAGATATTTGTGCAACTTCTTTTTTCTTCCAACTTGACTTGTAGATGAGTCTTGTTAATGATCTTGATTATCAACAGATCATATTCTAAAAACAGTATTCCCAGAAAAGGTACACTAATGGCATAGTAATCCAAAATTAACCAAAAACATGTGATTAAACACCTCAGAGAATGTTAGATTCTAGAGGAGTATCTTATGCATTTGCTCTCCGTCGTTGATGTTGTCACGATCGTCCAGAGAAAACGCGCATCCATTGTCTCTTTGCAATGACATATGAAGAAATGAAGAGTTATATATTTCAACAAAGGCTTCACTAAAATGATATAGAACTTCCCCGTGATCTCCACCTCTATCGTTGATCTTGGGTTCATAATGATCATTAATATGAAAAAGTGAAGACATGTCTTTGCTTTCTGGTAGCTGTAAATTTCTAGTAATTGAACTTTGGTAATTTGATTGGGAACTGGTTAAGGATAAGCATCTAGGTGAAGACAAAAGCCAGGCTTCTTTATCAGGAAAATGATGGTAAGGTGGAAGGTATATGCTGTCTTGAACATACGAAATATCATTCTTGCACTTTTCTGACAATTTAAATAAGTGTTTATTGTGTGACAAGGACAATGCTGCATGGTTAAAATTTGTGTCCATTTCTCCACTGTCGTCTTCGTAAACATGTTTTCCAAACTGGGATTTTCGATAACTCAATAAACCTGAATCTAATACAGAATTGAAGTCCCGTGGTTTATTGAGTAATAAAGATGAGGGGCTAAAGTGGAAGTCACCTAATGCATTATTTGATATCAGCTCTTCACCATGGCCTAAAATTGATAATGCAGGGGCCATATATGGTTCTGCATACTTACAACTGATAGGCACCATTATCTCATCTTTTTCACAGTTAAAATCCTTTCCCATAAGAAGAGGTATTGGTTCTCTCTCAACTTTCCCCAGCTCTTTGAAATGATCCAATGAAAAGGTTTCATGCTTTTGCTCATAATACAGAAATCCGTGAGTTACATCATTCTTATCTAGGTAACTAGAAGTTCCACCAAATTCACTTTCAGCTTCTGTTCTGAACATTGGTCGAAAGTTGTGATGACATATTGGAAATTCAGTGCGAGGAGTAATCAACTCATTCTTGTCTAGGTAACTTGGAGTTCCACTAAATTCGCTTTCAGCTTCTGTTATGAACATAGGTCGAAACTTGCGAGGATAGATTGGAAATTCAGTGCGAGGAGTAATCGACTCAACTGATCGGAGGAACATAGGAGACAACAAATGATCACTGATGCATGAGCTTGATTCAAGTTCAAGGAGTTTCCTCTTTGGTATCTGATGGAGTTCCGCACATTGGAAATCCAACTCTCGAGAATCAAGCAAACTATATTTGGTAGCATTTTCTACTTCATTAAACAGGGGCCCAAGAGTAATGTCACCCCTGACAGAGGCACTGAAACTTGGACTTCCACTCCGTTTGCACTTAGGTGCTGTTATACTGCACCGAGGTTGAAAGTTCTCAGAGTGATATGTTAGAAACTCGGTATGCGGAGTAATTCTCTCATCTGATTCAAGAAACGTAGCAGACAACGACTGATCATTGAAGTATGAGCCGGATTCAAGTTCAAGAAATTTCCTCTTAGGTACCAGATAGTGCTCCTTAAATTGAACATCAGAGTCGGACTCTCGAGAATCAAGTAAATCGTATCTGGTAGCACTCTCTATTTTTTCTGGATTAGCTTCCTCGTATGTCTGAACAGAAGATCGCTTTTGTCAAGGAAGGAAAGTCATTGGAAGGATTTATAGCATTACAAAGGGATTCTAAAATAACGTACATACATTTTTTACAGTGCAGTCAGTGCTCATTGGAAAAAGCCGACTAAGAAGCATGGAAACAATATCAAGCCTGAAAATTCCAGATTCTATTCAAAATGGCAAGAATAAAAATATTTAATATCAATGGAAAAACTAGTCTAACCCTTTTGAACATAGTTTCTGTTTATCAAGAAATAAGGTATCTGCAACACACTGTCGTAGTTTCTGTCTCTTTCTAGAAAAGATATCTCCACCCTCATTCTGGTTTCCTGAAGTACCACAAAGAAAATTGTCTCACACAAGCTACTGGAACACCTTTAGTTGCATAATACACACTTTCCCCAAAATTATGAGTTTAACAAGTGAAGATAAATTAACAAATGAGTGGTACCCATTCAAATATTGACACTGAAGACCCAGTAACATAAACTATATATGTTGAAACGGTTCTACACATTATTATTCCCTAAACCCCCCTAGCGCCGAAGCAATCAATTTGAAGAAAATCAAACCTTCATGTAAAAATCTTTGGGGTTTGTTGGTTTCACCACAACCTTGAGAGGTATTCAGCTTGCTGCTCATAGAGTACATGTCTGCATACACCAAGAGGAAGAAAAAAAGATCTTTTGGTACTAGATTATTGTTTTGCAGGAAACTGAAAACTGAAAGGAGGGAAACAGTTTCCAATATTCCAACTTAACGATAAAAGCATCAGTTTATTTTGTGGTTAGTGTAGTATAAAATCCTCTTCTAATACGCACCTGATTTATTCCAAGCTCCAACAGAAGGTGAAAGAAATGAACCCATCTTAAAAGTTGACGAGTTCTTATTGATCTTTGAAGAGTTGCAGCCCATAGTGCCAACCCTAACATCATCAGTCCTCTCTGCATAACATAAAAGACATCCCTTTTATGTGTTAGTTTCTATACATCCAAAATTTGTGTTCCTTATTTTAGTTAGTCCTTGCCATCACCATAAACCATTGAAACCCAAGCATGTATCAAACAAAATCTCAACTTATCAAGTTATCATTAAGTAACACATTAACATGTAACTAATTTTCTGATAAAGGAAGTACCTAATAACATTAGTAAACCAAGAGTTTCAGGTCTTGTTTAAATTGATTTATTTGAGCTTTTCTACTGGCAAACGACTTGTGAAACTCTGGCAAAGCTTATGAAAACAGCTTATGACATATGCCCATAACCTATTTTCATAAGCCCTCTCTATTGATAGCATATGAAAACAACTTAGAGTTTGTAAGAAAACAAATTGACTTTATTTTATCTTTTGCTATAGAAATTGCTTATACATAAACACTTATATGAAAATCACTTAATTAATTTGGTTATCCAAACAAATACATAATTCAAGTTAAACCAACCTTTGAAACATTCACCAGACTCAGGCTTCTTAGAAGATAACGACGAATCATCCTTTTTAACCGGACCGGATGAAAATTTGAGACTTGCATCCTTCTTCAATTTCTTAAAGAAAGCATACTCAGAAGTTTTCGCATCACCTGAATTCCAAATCACACATCAAATGTTTAACATAAGCAACACAAAATTCAGATTACTATTTAACTCTAATTCTAACCTATAGCAAATACACCTGAAACACGACACCAACACTGATAAGTTCACAACCGATAATAATTTGAAAAAATGAATCGTCAGTTTTGGACATCTTTTTTCAGAGGTGTCGGTGCCGATGAGATTATAACAAGTACCATAAAATAACGTGCAATGAATGCATTAGATTAGAACCTTACATGTTGTAACATTTTCTTTCTCAAATTGATTGCGAGAATGATCTGGTTCCGATCTGGAAATTTTTCTAGGGTTTTGTTTTTCGTTAGCAATAAACTTAGCCTTCTTCTGACGAATATACGATGGATCGTTAGGGTTGATTCGGGAAACTCCGATTTTCTTCATTATAATGCGATTTTGGTATAGAGAGTACACTGAAAGGAATGAATGAAGGAACCGATCGTTCGATAATGGAATGAATGAACTCTGCATGGTGGAGTGGTGGCCATGGCCGTTGTTGATGCAGAAGAATTCGCGCCAAATCCCTCACTTCTACGGTTTTACTTTACTTGTAGATTTAAAGCGAATTTAAAAATAAGTCTTTAAAATAGTAAAATTTATATTTTCATTTATATGCGCGCTTGTTTAGTTTTTTATAAATTTCATATTGGATTATTATAGTTTAAAAAACAATTTATGATATATGAATAAAGAAATAAAGACAAAGATGGTAAAAGAGAGAGATGTGTATTTTTATAAAGAGATTGATTCTATTTATCAGATAATATTTATACAATATAATAAATATAAATTGTTATAAATAAGAAATAAAATTATTGGAGGACAATCATTTAATTATTCATAACACTCTCCTTTGGATGTTTGTTTTGAATATGACTTGTTAAAACTTTACTAGAAAAAACCCAGTAGAAAAAATCTAGTTAGGGAAAAAGAATACAATATCCTTTTAAAATAAATTCATTTCTTCCTCTCAGTTGAACGATTATTTCTTCGACGATGAAGATCAATCTTTTGTAATAGTTGATTAAAAGTTCTACTTGAGAGTAACTTTTTGAACAGGTCTGCAAGATTATCACATGAACGGATTTGTTGAATGTTTATATCACCGTTCTTCTGAAGATTATGAGTGAAAAAGAACTTTGGAGACATATGTTTTGTTCGGTCTCCTTTAATGTAACCATCTTTCAATTGAGTGATGCATGCAGTATTATCTTCATATATGGTCGTTGCATTTATTTTTCTAGAAGACAAACCGCAAGTGTTTTGTATGTGCATTTTCGACTTGTCTCGTGTAGTGCTAAAAGTTCTGCATGATTAGATAAAGTTATTGTTATTGTTTGTTTCACTGATCTCCATGAAATAGTTGTACCACCACATGTAAAAAATAATCTATTTGTGATCTACCATTGTGAGGATCTGACAAGTAATTTACATTTGCATAACATGTTAATTCGAAATTTGATACTTTGGTATAAAACAAACTCATGTCTATTGTACCCCTAAGATAACGAAGTATATGTTTGACTTTGTTCCAATGTCTTTGTGTAGGTGAAGAATTGTATCTTGCTAATAGATTGACAACAAATGATATATCAGAACGTGTATAATTAGCAAGGTACATTAGTGCTCCAATTGCACTGAGATATGGTACTCCAAGACCAAGTAATTCTTCATCCTTTTCTCAGGGTCTGAAAGGATCTTTCTCCACATCTAATGATCTAACAACTATTAAAATAGACAACGGGTGACATTTTTCCATATAGAAGCGTTTTAACACTATATATATATATATATATATATATATATATATATATATATATATATATATATATATATATATATATATATATATCTTGATATACAAATATTCCTTTGTTTAAATGCCCAATTTATAAACCTAGATATAATTTTGTCTTTCCTAGGTCCTTCATCCCAAACTCTTTCTTTAAATAATTCATAGCTTTTGGAAGCTCTTCAGGAGTTCCAATAATATTTATGTCGTCCACATAGACAACTATTATTGCAAATTCTTTTTCTGATCTTCTTATAAAAATACAAGGATAAAATGAGCTATTTGTATATCCCTCTCTAAGAAAATATTCACTAAGACAATTATACCACACGCGTCCCGATTGTTTCAGCCCATAGAGATTTATTTAATTTTATGGAGTAGCTTTCTCGAGATTCAGAATTATGTGCATCTGGTATATTGAATCTTTCAGGGAGTTTCATGTAAATTTCACTATCAAGTGAACTATACAGATAAGCTGTTACAACATCCATCATGTGCAAATTAAACCCTTCATGTGCTACAAGTGTTATTAAATATTGAAAAGTGCTTGCATTCATTACAGGTGAATATGTCTCATCAAAATCAATTCCATGTCTTTGCAAAAATCCTTGAACGACAAGTCGAGCTTTGTATCTTACAATTTCATTATTTTCATTTCGCTTTCGCACGAAGACTCATTTGTATCAAACTGGCTTCACACCTTGAGGTGTTCAGACTACAGGTCCAAAAACTTTTCTTTTGTATAGTGAGTTTAATTCTGCCTCAATTGCATCTTTCCATTTTGGCCAATCTTCACTTTGTCTATAATTTTTAATAGACGCTGGTTCTTGATCCTCTTAGTCATTTATCTCATTTAGCGCCATTGTATGTAAAAGTATTATCAATGTCGACTTTGTGTCGGTTCTATTGTATTCCATTTTGGACATGATTTATCGATATCTCTTTATTTTCATGATTTTCAGGTACGTGATCAATCTCTTTTATAGATAAAATGTTTATTATGTCTGAATATTCTTTTAGATTTTCTATATCCTCACTTGGGCCATCTTTATTCTTAGCTCCCATTCTTGTTCGAGGATTTTTATCTTTAGAACCGATTGGTCTGCCACGTTTCATGCGTGGTTGAGACTCATTGGATTGTCCAACATGGATATCCATTTTTATTGGAGCATTTGCAGCTGGTATATATGATTTAGTTACACCTTTTGGATCAATGAATGTATTTGGTAATTGATTTGCTAAGATTTGCAAGTGAATTATCTTTTAAACTTCTAGTTCACATTGTTTTGTTCGAGGATCAAGATGAGATAATGATAATTCATTCCAACTGATCTCTTTTTCCAACTTCTTATTCTCTCCCCCTAATGCTGGAAAATTTGATTCATCAAAACGACAATCAGCAAAACGAGCAGCGAATAAATATCTTGTTGTTAGTTCAAGGTACTTTACAATAGATGGAGATTCATATCCAACATATATTTTCATCCTCCTTTGAGGGTCCATCTTGGTGCGTTGTGGTAAAGAAATTGGAATATACACCGCACATCCAAAAACTCTTAGATGGAAATATTAGGTTCTTTACCAAAAACTAATTGTAAAGGGGAACAGGTGTGGTAAATCGTTGGCATGATGCGAGTCAATGTTGCAGCATGCAAAATTGCATGTCCCTAAGCAAAAATTGGGAGTTTGCATCTCATAATAAATGGTGTTGCAATTAATTTTATACATTTAATAAATTATTCTGCAAGTCCATTTTGTGTATGAACATGTGCTACTGGGTGTTCAATGTCAATTCTAATAGATATACAACCACGTGACAACGACTACCGGCCTTTGCAGAATTATGAACCCAGTACATATCAGGAGATCCTCGTTCCTGCAGGTGGTGACGCCACGACCAGATCCCTATTCGCGGCAATCAACCAAACAAATTACATGATCTTCTCACAGGGTGAGCGACTGATGATGCCCGAGCAGACTCGTCGGGCCCCTAGAAAGCATAAAAGACATGATTCTCAAACTCCACCTCCCCGACGGAACGAGGACCTCTCCCGATCTTCCCCATGGAGACACATACGAGACGACTCTCAAAGCCCCTCTCATTTCCGAACTGGACGAGGCCTTGCATTGGAGAGGAGTTAGCCTGAAGCTGTTAGGAAGCGCAGTCACACACCCTCACCCCCCCCCCCCCCCTGTGCAAGAAGCGTTGATCCCCTGAACATAAAATAAATAGCGGGAATGAAGAAAAACAATCTCGGCCAAGGGACCCTCCCCGTGGCCAAGGCTGAAACAACGACCACCGCTATAATCAGTCCCCCTCTCGCTCTCCAAATTGAAGCGACAAAGACGACCCATGTGGTACACTATCCCAAGCCATCATGCAGGCTCTCATTTCTAAAGGAATGGAGAAGCCTCCCCTACTGAAGGAGTACGAAGGTATTGTCAATCCTATCGATCATATCAACGGGTTTGAAGTGATGCTCCACTACCATAATGTCGGGGGCCCAATTAAATGCAGGTTATTCCCCACAACACTGAGGAAAACAACCATGGATTGGTATAAGAACCTCTCCCCTGGGTCGATCACCTCATGGAGGAGCCTCAAAAACCATTTCATCAGCAGCTTCACTATGTCTTGGCGACATCCGAAGACTGAGGCCTCCCTCGAGGCAATCGTCTAGAGAAGAGATGAGACCCTCAGGGAGTAAATTGGTTAGTTCAACCGCGAGGCTATTCATGTCCCATACACTGACCAGATGAAAAGATACCTACTCGAGAGGGGACTCCTCCCATGCACTAAATTTAGAAAGGCCGTCGGCATTGAACCCCCTGGGTCTTTTGATGCTCTCCTCGAAAAAGCTCGGGCATACATGGACTACGAGGAAAAAGAAGCAACCAACAGAGCCCGCAATTCGAGGAACCGCTGACCAACTAACATCCCATGGCACCACGACGCGATCCTTTCTCAATAAACTCGGGAGAAGAAAAGGTAGGAGAAACCTCGCGAGCCCTGTGTCCATAGAAGACCAGCCAGCCGGTTCACCGAATACACCCTGCTGACCGCTTCCCATGAGCGTATCCTTGCAGAGTGCTCCAACATCGAGTTAAAGGATGGTGGTGTCAGACATCCTCGACTCGCCCCTGCAAAGCCTGGGGCCTACAGAACAAAATAATGTCAATACCACTAGAGCCACGATCACTTAACCAAAGATTGTGTCCACCTGAAAGATTCCATCGAGACTCTCATCAAGGCAGGGAGACTTGGACAATACAGGTGAAACGACGCCCCTCGCTAGGATACCTGCGAGGTTAAAGAAATCAAGGAGGATACCCGACCATCTCATGAATCGGGTCACCTCCAGGTAGCCTTCTCTGTCTCAAAGCCCGAGGACTTCCACATCCCTGGCAGCTTCGAAGATGAAGAATCCTTATTCACTCGCAACAGATGGGAGAAGTCCCCACCCCCCGATCATGGTCATATCTGGAGGGGGATTCAACGACAGCTCGGTAAATTCAGCAAAGAGGAAACTCAACGAGCTGGTAGACGCAGCCCTGACCCAGGAAGTAACCCTTGAAAGGTTCAAGGGAAAAC